TTTTTTCCAGCCCCATGGCATTCTGCTGGGTCTGGCTGTGTGTGGAGGGGGGTGAGTGTTTTTTCCAAGCCCCATGACATTCCGCTGGGCTGTTTTTTTGTTTGTTTGTTTTGGTGTGTTTGTTTTTTGGCCCCAGCATGTTCCTATGGGGCTTGCTGTGTTTTATTTTTATTTATTTATTTGGTATGCCCCCCTGGACAGAACGGATTAATGGAGTTTCAACGCATTCCTATGGGAAATGGTGCTTCGACTTACAACCATTTTGAGTTACGCCTATCTTCTGGAACAGATTATGGTTGTAAGTTGAGGCACCACTGTAAATCAAAGGTATTGTCATTTAAATTGACAAGTGGAGTCTTTAAAGATTTATTTGGAGCACAAATTGAAAAATGTTGCAAGATTCCCTCATACAGCCCTTCATCAATCTAGGTCCTCTGCCCTCTGATCTTCGACTTCTCTTGTGACTTTGGCTGGCAATAGAGGTTCCCAATTATATGAATATAATTGAAGAGAGAGAGAGAAAGAGAGAGAGATATGCCATTGCATTAAAATCTGACTTCCTCTCCCAATTTTATGACAGGCAGAAGCAGCATGGGAGGAGAAAGCAGAAGGGACTCCAGAATGGTCTTGAGAGTGGGGTGGGCTTGGACCTACACGAAAGGGGCAGAGTCCCACAGATACCAAGTTAAGTTCTTCAGTTACATCGCTGTGCTTTCTCTTCCCCTCTCCCCACTGTTCTTGACTGGGTTCTTTCAAAAACAAAATTCATTCTCACATCAGAGTATTTTAAACTTGAATCCAAGGCAAGGTTCTCACATCTTTCAAGATGTTTCTTGAAATCAAAGGGATTTTAGCAGGTTTCTTTAACTGTAGCGATGACAGCAACAGGAACTGAGTTTAGTGTTCACAGACAGATCACAGAACACCATAACACATCACTGACAATCAATCATAAATAAAGACCATGACATGAGATGTGATTTGCACTTATTGTTATATATTATCAGGCCAGCTGATAAGACGCAAAACATCCCCTTTAGGAAAAAGAGTACAATCTTTATCTTAAAGTTATTTCATGTAAGAACAATGCCTGTGTACAACATCTACACCGGGCTAAATGCACCCCACCACACCCACACCCTGTGTTTTTCTTCATAAAGATTTGTTTCAGTTTTAAAATGCAAGTCTTAGGGCTTGGCTAAAAATCTATGCCAGCTGAACATCATCCTAGAACACACCATGAATTACTTGACTTTATGGTACATTTATGAGGACTTAAGAGCACCGAGAATGATTGGGGACATCTCAGAGCTCATTCCAAAATGAAGAAGCTTGATCATCACATTGAAAGTCAAGAAGCCACTTGGCATTCAGTCTCTTTTCCAGAAAATATAAATCAAATTGACTAAGTAAAGAGAGCAATGAGTGTGAATATTGCTAATTTTCTCAAGGGTGCAACTTGGAAAGAGAGGCTGTCCATTCTTATGCAAGGCCAGATGCCTCTTCTTTAAACAAGGTCATTTTATTTTGGACACTTCCCCTTTGGATTGGGAATAATTTGCTGAAAGACATCAAGAGGCAAACCAACTTCATGTGCAAAAGGACAACAAAGTAGTAATATTAGCAAACAAGCTTACATTTACTTTGCAGTCCAAAAGAAATGGGAGAAACTATGGTAGGGCTCCACTGTGATGACAGGAGTCCCACCGGACGAACCCAACACCAGCCCAAAATGGGTAGAAACAGTCCAGCTATTAGCAGCAAATGCTGCAGGGAAGGGACAAGCAATGTGTAGCTGTCCAAACAGTGTTGGGCTGCAAGTCCCGTCATCACTCATCAATGGCAATGGTGGCCGAAGGGAGTTGCCATACACTCCCCACACCTGTTGTAAGGTATGAAAGGAATAAATCTCACAGAGCCTTTGCCACAGCAAGTGTTGCCTCATTTATACACATGTGCTCAGCTATGATCTGGGAGACCTGGGTTAAAATTCCTGCCAAGTCATAAGTACAATAGAGAAAAGAAGACAGCCCACCCAACAAAGATGATCATGTCACTGGATGATCTGCTGTTGCACATGTGGTCTGAAACCATCCTTGGGTATTGAGTTTAAGGAGGTGGTAGAGTACTAAATGTGGGATTTCATCTGTAATGGATCAGACACACAGGCAGATGGCCAGATGAGGCTGACCACTAGAGATGATTTAACTTTACATTTCTCAACACTTACTGTAGCTTGTCACCTGTAAAAATGGGAATGACAGCCACATATATTCATGAAGCAATAGTAAGGATGAAGATGACAGAGGACTACAAAGAATTTTGTTGTGTGGGAGTCATTACAGAAACTTTGAGTAATAACAGCCAGCCCACAAGAGAAGTTAGGTTAACGCCATAATGGATAACTCCTGCACCAGACAAAATGCAAATCGGTTCAGTTCTGTGATGATTGTAGACATAGGTCCATTTTTGCCAGCAGCCCTTTGGAAGCAAAAGAAAGCTCACTTTCTTCTTACAACTTTTCTGAAATAGCATGACTAATACATAACCAAACCAGAAAAAAACTCATGTTACACAGCAACAGACCGATAATTCACATGGAGGGAGCCTGTACAACTCTCCTAACCCCTGCATATATTAATCTTTATAAATACAGTTATTCTACACAACAAACTGCAGAATGACGTCATTCAAGGAACATTTGATCTTTTTAAGTGTAAACGCACTGCCCTGTAGAGTCCTCCAGCAGCTCAACAGAGGTTTTTCTGGTTACAAACGCAGAAACCAAAAGGATGGCTCACCATCAATACAGTATTTCTTAGAAGTCTACCACCCTGACTCAATCAGGTTCAACAACTCGCCCAGAGAATAAGAGGCATATTTTAGTTATAGTCACCTCAATTCAAATTGACTGTGTCTGCCAATTAAGACAGCACACAAATATCCCTGGAAGGTTCCAGGCCAAAAAAACGATGGAGCACAAGGCAGATTCTTTTCTTGCTGGTATTCATAGGGTCCCTCAGTCAAGTGGACAGTCATAGCTCATCCCTGGCAGATGATGCCCCAAGAGAGGGTTGAGGTGGCAAAGCATCCTTGTTCTGGGCATCCGTGTGAATCTGTCCCTGCTGCCGGGATTTTCGAGAGAGTGTTCTGTCCCAATCTGTGGCCACTGTCTCATTGTCCCAAATGGTAGACGTTTCTGTGTCACTGAGGTAACCTGGCTGCCCAGTATAGTGTGTTGGATAGATCAGCAGAGGTTCTGCGGAAAAAGCTTTCAAGTCTCTGTGTTCATAGTATTCCATGTACTTGGCACTAAAGAGAAGAGGAAACCATTAACTTAAAGGGCAGTTTTGCACAATAAAAACACTACACAAAACCTATAGCAAAAGCTAAGAAATGTGTAGAAACAGGCAAGCAACTGACTAACAGGAACACATATTACAGTCACGTAGGAGAAAAAAGTATACCCTCTTTTTACACAATGTAATATATCATGTGTTGTTGTTCATCCGAGGTTATATTTACCTAGTTTTCAGGCCTGCTAAGGACCTGACGATTTTTATTATGTCCTGATAGAATTCAAAGTGGTGTATTTTCTTTTTCACATGACTGTAAGTGTTCTGGGAAATGAAAAGCTTTTCAAGTTGAGGCGACTTTCCATACAGTGGAGCATAGCCTCAGAGAGCATTATCTTATCACACCTCTCTTACTTCAGCCGCTTTCAGTTCTTTAACAAATATGACTAAGAGACAAAGATGTTGATGAAGGGATACCACAGATGTGGAACGTCATTCAACCCAAGAGACAAACTCCAATTTCAGAAAGTTCTTGCGGGGTGGCAATAAACTGGCTGGCATGGCCAAAAAAACAAAGGGCAGGGTCAGGAACACCAGCATATTGGAGTTGGGCACTCTTACTGTCAGTAGCCGAACTTTATGAGAGGCATTTCAACCTGTTAGAAGTGGGGGGGGGCTGAGGTTCCCCATCTTGGAATGAAACCAACATCAGCAAAGAGCCTGTCACTCACAAACCTACGCTCTCCTGTCTAGTGCCCCATTTGCTTGTCCTTTTCCAGTTCTAGCTCTCAACTAAAATCAAATCTTTTACAACATAGGTTCTCACTCCGAGAACACTCCCACCTGATAACAAAGCTAGTCTCCCCTTCTTCTCATTCATTTTCTTGTTCCTCTCTTTTCTCCCAACAAACAGCCATCACTAGGTTCATGCAAATGTGGTTGTGGACAGCAAGTTTTGAGAAGGCTATTGAGCAGGTGATCTAATAAATACAAGCTAAACAGAGAGTCTGGTTCAACCCACATAAGGATCTGATCTGGATTCCCCCTGCCTTCAGTTATGCATCAGGAAAACTTGTAGGACAGAACAACTATCTATGCAGCCATAACAACTATCTATGCAGCCATTTCACAATACTTTGTACAAACCAAGTTCACGAGTGCAAGCTTGTGAGGTAAACAAAACAAATAACTTACACTGGGTGCTTGTTGTACATGATGGGCAGGAATTCATCAACGGGCAACATCTTGTTGAAAGGCTGAGCCCCAATCAGCTTCTGGGCACCTTGCAAAGAGATTGCATAGCCCAGTGTCCAATAAGAGTAATCGGCTTCCACAAGGTTCATGACATTGGGAACAGCCTTTTCTGGACGCTCCACCTGCATCCGCTTCCGGCCAATGTATCTATAAAGAAAGACTGGCAGTTGTGTCGTGTGCATAACATTTCCCTCACACGTTTGTCACTGTGAATGTTCAATGACATAACACATGCTGCAGCATGTTCTGGATCTAAGCAAGTACATGTTGCATCTGTGAATGGGAGACCAGGGGGAGCTCCATGCAAGTTACTAAAGAGCTTTCTTTAAAAAAGAAAGGGGAAAAAAGAGAAATCTAATGAATAAATAGCAGGCACACAACATTTATGGAGATGCAGGCACAGAGGTATGGGAAAGCACTTTAAAAAACAAAGGGGGAAAAAAGAAATCTAATGAATAGTCAGGCATACAACATTTATCGAGATGCAGGCACAGAGGTATGGGAAAGCAGGATTATAGTTATATTCTGCCAAATATAACTATTCTGCATATTTTGTTAAACTGAAACCCCTGAAAAATCAGCCTAAAAATTTCCAGGAGTTTTACAACTCTAGATAGCAAAGGCCAGACTGTATATAATTCCCAAATGGGGTGCCACTAGAAATCAAGGCTTCTATGAGATCCAAGGTCCTACCCAGAGAAGGCTGCCTGAAGCAACCATGCCACCTCTCTACTCCTCCCAAGAACTGGTCAATGACCGTTAATAAGCAACGTTAAGACCATCATCATGTTGGATCTTAGCATTTCTTTTACATTTCTCACACACCCCTCTCCTGAGTGTGTACAAATATCTGTTGACTGGAGCCATACCCTGTGCAACAGAAGACATGGACAATAATCTATGCACATGTATGCCAAATAAAACTTGTTAGTCCTTAAGGTACTACAGGACTCTTCCTATGTTTAATGCCAACAGACTACAGACTAACATGGCTGCTCCCTGGAAGTTTGCAACTTAATAGTTATGAGTCGTTTGTATGATTTTTTAAAAAAAATTCCCCCATCCAGCTGTAAAGCCAACCCACACTAAAGCATTGGTAACAGAACTCAGTTACGAGGTTTGGTTTTGTCCTTGTTCGTTTCATCATAAATCCATCTGCCCAAGGTCCCCAAAGTGCTTTGCTCTTTTGCTGACGACATTAAAGCCAAGCAGAAGCCATTTTCAAAAAACATGCTTGAACGAACTATTCCTTTGCCCCAAAGAGCTTTCCGTCTCTTCCAAGTGTGAAGAAACGAATGGCTCTGAGATGTTCTGAGAGGCTCCTATCCTATCTCAGTGTGAGAACTTGCAGCTGTGGGGCTAGGCTTGCAGACTGTATACTACAGTGCCACCAAAGGGAGACTTCCAGCAAGCAGGCACGAGGGGGACAGCTACTTACATGAGCTCCCAGTCAAGTTGAGCACTCTCAATATCATCCATCAACTTCGTGAGCTTCTTCTTGAACTGGTGCTCAAACCGCACATCATCTTCAATGACCAGAGTCTTCTCCATCCCCCTATCCACCACCTAAAGTAATAGGGAGGAGGGGCAGGGGAGAAGGGGAATGTCATACTAGCTTTGCCTTCCAAGATCCAGTCTATCCTGGACAGCCTCATCTTGTCAACTACTGCTAACATGTTTCTTGAACGCCTGTAAGATGGCACAAAAGCAATAATACTAGGCATCGCTCGATTATCACCTATATCTATGGTTTGGTGTGCATTGCTTTTGAACACGGAGGGTCCATTTAGCTGTCACTGCTGGCAGAATTATGCTCATGAGTTTATCTCTGCCTGGATTCTTATTAATTGCCCAAATTTCTGTGAATTCCCCACCTATGCAGACTAGACACACCAAAAGGAGTATGCCAGATTTTTAAGTCTCAGAAACAGAACCTCTAGGGATGCTTATCTTCGAAAGGGCTGGGAGTTTCCATCAGTCACCTAGGGCCTCCTGCCCATCCCAAAAAAGAAGCTAAAAACCAAAATGGAGATGCAAAACAATGACAGGAGCCTTCTCCAAATATCTGAGTATATTGGAAATCAAGCCAAGCAGATATGTATACATCACCTCCTTCCAGATATAGTAGTGGCTAAGGAAGCAACCAATCTCTCCCCTGGTCAGCACCCTTGAGGAGTAAGGGTCGCGATATCCAGGAAGCATGTCTATCTTGAGAGCTTTCAGCTGGCTTGTGTTCAATGCCCTACAAGAAACAACCATTCAGCCATTTAGCCACAGTTTTGCAAGATACAAAGACAAAAGACAAAAATGCAGCTCAGCCGGGAAATAGACACCGTCTATTCATGAGAGGCAGAATGGAGGGCACCCCATGAGACTGCAGAGGGGGCATCACAAGTTTTACTGTTACCCGGGCATTGTAAACTTCTTGTAAACAGAAATCCAGCACAGCTAGGGAAGAAATCACTATCACTTCTTGCTGATGTCGAAGCTTCCAATTTGCAATGTGTTTTGCTCTAAGATGGATGAACATTTAAAAATGACACTTCTACCTGCAGTAGGACATGGTTCAGCCCTTCCTGAGTGTTGCCTCTCAGCCAGCTGATTCTGTGATATGTAGAGGCATCAGCAACAAACGCCTACTGAACTCACACCAACAGAATACTGCCTTTTCTGCGAAGTTCACAGAATTTAGACTGCAACTACACTGGCAATTTGATCCACAGCCTGTATTATGATTGAATTTGCAGTCAGTGATCACACAGGGTTTATGAGATTAATTTAGGAGTTCAGTGTTCACACTTGATGCAGTGTGGTTCACTTTTCAGCCTTCAGCCCTCCTGCCCCCTGGTTTCCCTTCCTTCTTCTGGTCCTGCCTCTGCCAGTCCTTTTATTGTTCACTGTCAAGCCATTTAGTTCTGAAAGGGTCATATGGTGTTTCAGAAAAGGTGGCAGTGTTCCAAAGTTCTTAACATGTACAGAAATCCAAGATAACACAAGAACATATTTTATTTCATCTAGATCGTTTCTGTTTTGTTTGTAATTTTTAAAAAAAGTTATCCAGATGTGATCTAGCACTAAACTAGTATATTACTACTAGTGATAAGGAGATCTAGCACTAATCACATATATAATAGTTTTAAAATTTCAGCGGATGATTGGGGGGAAAGAACATGGGTGTCTGTGTTCCTGCGGTCCTGAACATGACACCCCAACTGCCTACATCAACTGAGACAGCACTCACAGAAACATTCTCCACCTTTACAAGATTAAATCAAGTGTCACACCTTTAACTGTCCTGCACTGCAGGCATAAGGCATCTGTGCTCTCAAGTGTGTAAGAAACTGGAATTCATAGGAAGTCTTTGATGAGTTTCCCATGGGGAAATGTCAATTTGAAGAAAAAAGAGAAGCCCCCAGTGGCAAAGGGGGAAAAAAAGTCATGCTAGAAGCAAAAAGAGCTAAACAGATTTGAATCGTCCTTTGAATCGTGTGATCAGGAAAATAATACTTCGAGTCGCCCAGTCCCACAGCCACAGCAAATCCCAAAGTACTTGATCATGTGATAACAGCCTTAGCCAGATGAATGGGCTTCTTGCAGGAGAACAGTATTACCAGCTTAGCCAGGCAGTTTCTAGAACCCAGCCTCACTTCTGAACATAGGGCAGGTTACCAGGGATCAAGGACTTGCAGTGCAAAATTGTTTTTGTTTTCCACGGAGCATGGACAGCTGACAAGTTACTTGGATTCAGCCAATGGCAACAGTGGTCATTTCTATACCAGAACTCAGCAACCCGTGGCCCTCCATTTGTGGTCCCACCATCCCTCCCCATCAGCAACCATAGTGGGAGTTGGGAATCCAGACAGGCCACACCCCCTGTCCTAAAGACTCTTTCCACCACTACTACAGCCCTTCGTGACATTTCTTGGTGGTGGTTTATGCGATGCATCATTTCTGTGCAAGTCATTCATTCTTTTTAAGCCTGACAACTTGAGCAACATTAACCTTCTGGCAATATAGCCCTGGCTTTCTTTTAGTCAAAGGAAACACATGTGTGTATGCACAAAAACATGCATCTCTTTGTATCATAAGGTTACTTATTACCTGCTCTGATACTGCAGCACTGCCATGTGAATCCTCTTTCGACGTACAGAAAAGAGGGGAAATACTATGTTTCATTCAGAATTTCTTCCTTTCATAACTCTATTTAAGATGAGGGCTTAAAAACAGAAGTCCCAATCAACCAGTGAAAAATCTCCTGTGCGTTTCCCTGTGAATGACTAGGAAAGGGGAAAATCACATTCCACCTCTCTGGTGGGTTGTACCCATAATTCCTAGATAATGAACTTCATGGGTTCTACAGGTGAGAACCAAGAGGTAAGAGAATCTTTTATGCACAAAATGATACTGTATATCAATATCTGCCACACACTTGAAAGCAGACACATCCTGTGCTTGAAGCCTAGGACAGTTTAAGGAAGAAGCCCTTTTCCGTATCTTCTGTTTTTTTTCAAGACAAATCATTTGAGAAATGCAACCTTAATCCCATATTTCATCTCTCTTAGCCATCAAATTCATGGCATGGGAAGTAATCTGCTCAAGCTGTCACAGTAGCATGCTCAATCTCTGTGCCAGGAAACGCTTCAGTCTTGCAAGTTTGCCACACCCATTAAAAACAAACAAACCACAAAGCAAGAAGAGAAGACAGTAACTCACTTTCCATCCACAGCTTCCACTACCTTGACTGCAATTTCTTGCTCGTGCAAAGTACGCAGCATCCGATCCCGTCTGTCTTTCCTGCGCTTTAGATTTATCATGAAAATCTAGAGAAAAAGGGCAGAATTTCTAATGTATATCTAAACTGGAGGCAGGGGGTTGGCATCATGTATCAAATAGTGAGTGACATCGAACAAATAAGGTAAAAACAGAATGATTAGTCAACCACGAGATGTCACATAAAATTTGAAATAGCAAGAAGCTACTGACAACGCTCCAGATGGAAGCAGTGGTGTGGGACAGGCCTATATGTGCACACAGAGATATCCAGGAGCACCACCCATTGGTCCATGCCACTCATTATTGCCTACATTTAAAGCAGGCAGAGGGAGGGAGAAAGGGAGGGAAAGAACATGTACAGACTGAATTATTTAAAGCAGGCAGAGGGAGGGAAAGAACATGTACAGACTGAATTGAACGTGACTGGACTTCAGGTTTCTTCCAACATTTACCTAACGAAAAGCTCTTCCAGGCAGGGCATTTGCTTTCTCTCGCACTGCCCCTCTTTCTGTTGCTTAGTGCTGAAAGAGTGCAGGGTTTACTGAGATCTGCATCCAAACTCTTGTCTGTCAGATGGAAGATAGGACCATGCCAATATGTACACTAGTCAGCTTTCCTTGGAGGGGGAGACTTCTGCCTGCCTAGAGAGGAGCCCTAGCTTCCTTCAATCCCATCCCAACATCAGAGAGCTTTTACACGAAAAGTGGATTGAGAATTGAAAGCTTCCAACTAGGAAGGCATCCTCTGCAAATGGGAAGTACCAGCAAGGGAGACACCTTGGGACTGGCCAAGCGAGGCGCCCGAGTGCTTCGTGTTGAGGACGAGCCACCAGGTGTTGCTGGCACCAGCCTCTGCGTCAGTCCTCCCCCAAATGTACTACAAGCGCTCCATCATTAGAGGGCAGCATCTCACGTCACGCTACTTTTTTACATCAGCTGTTCTCAGTGTACTGGGCAGAGTCCTTGCGGGGGGGGGGTGCGGGGAGACCTCTGAGACAGCCTGTGCTTCTCTTTCACACCAGCTATCACCTGAGGAGGAGGCAGAAGACCCCACTCAGGCAGTGGGTTAATTTTATTTTTATTCACTTTCTCTGGAAAGAAGAGAGCTCGGAATGATCCACCCTTTTGTTCCTATCACATTAAGACACTGCTGCCCTCAGCTATGCCAAATTTAAGAGGCAGAACTAGCAGCACAACCCACTCCCCAAAATATCATTTATTCTAAACCCATTCTTAATTTTTTCCCCAAAGAATCTCACCATAAGATTCCCATCCCTAAGTTGTGGCTTATTAAGACTGCAGATAAATCCAGCAGTCGTTCTTTATCATATTTCCTTTTGCGTGGCTCTAGGGGGAGCTGGAGATCATTTTATTCTTTTCCTATCCTCATGCCAACAACGTAAAGCTATTATTATAAACCACTGCTCCATCGACACACAGTGGCATTCCCACAACTGCACCCAAGGATCCCTGCAGTCTCGCCTGTGAAACAGAGGAGAGATGGTAGGCCATAAGCTCCTGAAGGAATGTTCAGAAGGAATTTTAATGAGGAGTGGACCAAGATCGAAGAGTGTGATTCACAGGAAATTATATGCACACACACACACACTCCGTTTGGTCTGGGAGCTACTAATGGCGTGATCACCACTGCTATAAATCCAAAGGTATAAAACAATACAGCAGGACCCCCATGTGGGTGGAATCGGAACCCAAGTTTCATTCATCTGTGGTTTACAGCAGCCCTATATACAACATAAAAGGGTGCCTCTTGATGGCCTTTGCCCTGCCCCGTTGTATGTTGCATAAGGATTCCCTCGTATCAGCAGTTTCAGGCATCCACAATAGATTGTGGAACCAACCCCTCCACCCCCCACCCCACCCCCTCGCAGATACTGCTACAGCATTTGCAAGAGGGTTCCTGGTTGAGAGGAGGAGAAACCACCATCCCCTCCCACTGAATCTATCCATAAATGCCCTCTCCCAGCCCCCAAATTCACCTGTGTGTGAGAAACACAGATTGAAGAACCTTCATTTTTCCCTTGTCACATCTAATTTAGGCCTCCTTCTTGATCAAGATATTGCTTTCTGCCTCAAAAAAAAACCTCAACATCTTTTTGTAGTAATTGTGGCCTCAATTACTACAGGCAATGTAATCATGACTTGCGGGGAAATAGCAATAAAGCTGCGATGTTCTGAAAGCAAAATAAATGAAAACAACAACACAAAAGACACAGACAACCCCCCCTCTTATATATTTATATTATTCCTCTGAAAACATGTAAAAGCCCCAGTAGGGCAACACTTATTAGAACAAAATAATATGTCACAAAATATTAAATAGTGACAGATATAATAAATAAAACACACACACACGCATACACAAATAGGATCTCACCGATCAGAGTATAAATTACATCTTGCTTGCCATTTAGATTAAGCCTTTGGCACCTAAACTGACTCATTTACAACAACAGCCACCTGTCAGTCCCACTAGATTTTGTCTGTCCTTTTCCTGCTTACAAAAACTAGCACGCTAAATTGGACATCATCTTACCTCGTCGAATCCCATCTTGTCTGGGTTCTTTGGGGGAATGGTGATATACTCTGAAAGTTCAATTGGAGGATGGTCAACTGGAAGAGATGAGGAATATCCTTGAGAAAAATATATTCATTTGAAAAAATCTTAATTTGCAAAAATTTAACTTTGCGGTATGTTGAAGGGTGGATGGATGAGAGCATCGGCTGGATGTTCTAGCTGAGCAGGTTCATAGGGACCAGGGCACTCTTCTTACAAATAACTTGGCGGTATTTTTGGATTGCACCAAGGCTATCTCCTGAGCTGCCTCACCCGGGATGGTCCTTCCAGGTTGGCACCTGAATGAGATGCCACAATATGTATAGACATGAATATTCTTTCAAACCCAAAGTTGCCAATGAAGATTTTTTTCTTTTTAAAAAAAATCTAACAAGAAGTGAGAAATTAAAATGTGAAGAGTAAAACAGAGAGCAAAATCCTACGCATCTCTTATATGATTTGAATCACTCTAGTTCTGATCTCAACATATGGACTTGCCACTTCACCTCATGGCCCCTGCTCTGCAGAAGAGACTCGCCAGGGAGCCCGACAGTCCCACTGTCAGGGGAGGCGGCAGAAACATCATAATTCAAAGGGCTGCTTTTGGCAAGAATGTGCAGAGGTCACCGTGTGCGATTTAGGTAAGAGATGTGGGCTGCCACATGTATTACTTACTCATTGCCTCAATGAGCACATGAACGATACTGTCAATTTCATCCTCCAGGGTCTGCTGAGCTTTCAAAGGCATTGGGAGGTAGCCATAATGTTCTCTGTTGCAGATGTACATCTGAATGCCTGGGATAGGAAAAGAGGGGTAGACATGTGAGTGGGACCCTTTTAATGAAGGAAAGGTGGTCGCTATGGCTGACCTCTTTCAGATGGCATTTCGGATTGGTCCTGGAGGCAGAGTTCCAATCTACCTCAGGCTAATCCTTCATAATAAGGAAAATACAGAATACGTTTCTGTCCACTCCCATTAGTTTAATTGTCAGAGCTGAGGGCCATGGAGAGGGGAGGAGACAGGGAAGCAGCAGAACCCATAATTTGCAGACAGAAGTAATATATTAGGCATAGAAATCAATACATTGGTCTCTGTCTGTCAGCTCAGAAGTTAGCTTAGAGATTGGGAACGTGTGACCCTACAGATGATGTTGGACTGGAAGTCCCTTAACCATTGAGTATGCTGGCTAAAGCTGATGGAAGCTGCAGTGCAACCTGTAGAGGGCCTTCTGTTCTCCACCTTTGATCTAAAGGAAAAAATCATAAGCAGAAAGAAAGGGGAATTTGCATTTCACAGTAGGACTAAAAGTGAAAGAAAAGGTGACCTACAACATTGTGTAGTAATGATCTTAATGAGAATAAAAGAAACAGGTCCTCATGCCTAACTGCACGTAGTAAAATAAGGTTCACCGCAATTGCATTTGCTGATTTTGCCATATCAGTTCCATGGGGAAAACACATGTGACTCTCTCGTCTTGGATTCTGAGATTTGGTATTTGAGCCCAAAGTTAACAGAAATAGAAAAGGCACCCCAGAGATTGTGATGGCCTGCAAATTAGAGCAGCTCGTAAACTACCAGCAGACCTAAGAAGCTGCAGAAAGTCAAGCCACTCAAAAGCTGCCTCATACAAAGAAGTTCAAACCAATTACTTCCAGACCTTACTTTCCACTTGCTTCTTTCTCTCCCCCTCTGACTCTTTCCAGGTGGGACAGGGAAAGTGGAGGAATCCAGGTTCAGAAACTGAACATTAATCTCCAAGCAGACCCAATTGGCTGAGATTATTAACAGCACAACAACGCAGCCTCCCTCCACCATTCCTTTTAGCTGAGTGGGGCTGCCTGGGGAAAAGGGAGTCGCATGCCTGCCCTTCCATGAACTCCCTGCTCTAAGCCAAGCTGCTGACTACAACTCTTGCCAGACCCCAGTTCAACTGTCAGCTGTCATTATGGGAAACAGTTGAAAAGGTATCTTGAACTTAATGGATTTGACCATGATTTTAAACAAAAAACAAAAAACTACACACTCCTACATCCAGTTCCCTCATTCCCCCATCTCAAACATGCTTCTCTTTGTAAAAATATATTTGTGTGATCCTTCCAGAGTAACTGTTGCACACATTTTGGGTACAGTTTTCATTGTTCACAGTTTTACCACCACCTTGTGTGCAGCGTGCCTGTTTTCCATTTTCCTCTCTATTCCTTTTTCTATTTCCACTGTGTCTTCTAGGTCACTCATATACCAGCATACAGGGACGATCTAGTTTTCAATCTATGCGTTTTAGGTTCATTTATAAATGATAACAAGGCCATGTATATGAACACTGAGACCTCAAGACCTGAGTCCACAAACACCACCGTTTGCCCAGTTGTATTCAAATAGCCTTCTGACATTTTGCAGAAGCAAAGAGGATTCCTAGCTAGCCTCTACCTGACTGCAGGACCAGGGGACCTGAGGCTTTGCAGATCTTATTGGACTCCATTCTCCATCTGCCACACTCTGCCAGGTCAATGGTGAGGGACGATGGGAACAACATTTGGAAGATTTCAGGTTCCTCTGCCCTCCCGTGGTGCAAGAAGAGAGAAGCCCAAACCCAGACCAAAGAAGGTAGATTTATGATATGGACAGGCTGCTCAATACTTTTTATAAACACTTGTTCTCTTCTTTCAGAACAACAGTGAACAGTGTGCGGCGCTCCGGAGATTGTTGCATTGCAGCTCTCCGCTTTCTTCATGCCTGGCTACTCTGACTGAGGTCAAGGATTGTTGAGGCCTAACAACATCTGGAATTTCACTTTGGTGCAGCTGTGCCCACCCCTGACTTATGGCCGGTCCACAAAAAGCTGATCAGTGGAGGTGACAGATATTTGCACTGCACCACTTCAAGGGGAGGCTGATCTTTCCTAACATTTCTCCATGTAAAAGTAAGAAGCACATCAGAGGTAATTTTGTACTGATGTGCCCCTAAACAGTTACTGTACTATAACATTCTCTACACTGATTTCAAGTGAAATTGAGCATTTGTTTCTTATCATAAAATGGGGGCGGTTTTTTGTGAGGGGCTTTGTTCCTAGTGGTTTGGGAAACTCCCTCTCTTTTGGGGGGGACGAAGAGTGAGGTTCACAGCTTGGGGATACATCTGGACCCGGCGTTCACCATAGAAACTCAGGTGGCGTCAGTGGTTTGCTCCGCCTATTACCATCTTTGGTGGATTGCCCAGCTGCGTCCCTATCTTGATGCTGGGGCCCTCACCACTTCAGTCCACGCGCTCATAATCTCGAGATTAGACCACTGAAATGCGCTCTACGTGGGGCTACCTTTGAGACTGATGCGGAAGCTTCAAATGGTGCAGAATGCAGCGGCCAGACTTCTCAGTGGAGTGAGGAAATCACAACATATCACTCCCACTCTGGCTGCCTTGCATTGGTTGCCCGTTGCTTCCGTGTCAACTTCAAAGTTCTAATGATCACATACAAAGCCCTAAATGGTTTAGGACCTCGATACTCGGCAGAGCGCCTCCTCCCACCTAGATCTACCTGCACCACTCAATCTAGTCAGGAGGGGCGATTGAGGGGCCTAACGGCAAGGGAGGTCCGGAAAGAAAAAACAAGACACAGTGGCCCCTTCTCTTTGGAACAGACTCCCCTCCGAGATCCATTTGGCTCCCTCGCGGAGCATCTTTAAAAACCAACTTAAGACCTGGTTATTCAGACAGGCCTTCCCTCCAGGCACTACTTATTTTTTCATCCCATCTTGAGTTATTGTTATCATTGTATATTGTTGACAAATTGTTACTATATATTAATTCTTTTTGGCTGTTGCGAGCCACCCAGAGTAGACAATGTCTAGATGGGCGGCATATAAGTGCAATAAATGAATAAATAAAACAGAATGCTGCCCTTGCCCAGCTTGATCTAGAGGGTCCAGGCAGACAGGGAAGGTCCTGCACCGGAGAGCAAGGAATGGGCAAATGATGGGAGACACCTGGAAAAGGACCCAAAGCGGACTGGCTGGAGGGGGGGCGAAGGAGGAGGGGAGGAGAGTACACTGGAGACAACCACCTCAGCCCAAATCCTCCCAACTTTAGTTAGGAGCTCTCTGTGAGATTAATGTAGTGAGTGCAGGATATGAAGATCATGTTCAGCAGTTCAAAATGAAACTTACTACCTGAAGCGTGTGAAACAGCAAAGTGGACATGACAAGGCATGTTTTTGTCCACACACACTTACACACACACATATATGTATGTATATGTATATATGTATGTATATATGTATATGTATATATTAGTTTTTGTCAAAAGCCCCATCCTGTGTTGGGTATTTCTCCTTGTATAGGGCTCTGTCTAACAACTGGGAAAGGAAAGGGGTTGCACTTGGCTCACTCAAGTTGCGCTCCAGCCTCTCCCATGCCTTGCATGCTCTCTTCTCTCTCAGAAGCTATTTCTTCCGGAGGAATGCTGTCCTCAACCAAAAATGAAGGTTGCCCAACTCTTGTTGCAGGTCAAAAGTTCCCTGGAACCACACAGAAGTTACTCAAAGGGTTACCAACCTGCCTGGCGACTAGAGAAGGCAAAGACGATGATGTCATCAAAGGTCCACGTATAGTCCTGATGTGGGGGATAAAACATCAGTTTATCTGACGCTTCTTTTCTCAGGTCAAGCAGGAATGTAGAGTGGACCATTGGGACAGCAAAGCATCCAGTCCTCTTCCATTCTCTGATCAGCGGATAATCTGGTGTTCTCTTATAGTAGCCCTGGAATAAAAGGAGGATATACAGATTATTCACATGGCATGTGCCCAGGAGATGAAGATGCAGATTAGAAGAGTCTCCAATAAATGAATGAATGAATAAAAATTGAAGTAAAATCCAGAATTTCCAGTGTGTGATGATCTTCAGAGCTGTCTGGATCTAAAGGCCAGATTGTTCACCACAGGGATAGGACTTTCTTGCTTGTAGGCTGGATATGGCTAGCAATAGCTCCCTAGTCAGCTTGCAAGAATTCTGCTAATCTCTAATCAATGATGATCAGGATTTAGATTTTAAATCTACTGCATGAAGCTGAACTGACTTTTGTTGGCAGGAAAGCTTTTGCACCAGGACAGAAAAGGGACATCGGAAAGGACTTCAGTGCTTTTGAAGCTCTTCCTGTTGGCAGGAAAGCTTTTGCACCAGGACATCTTCATAATAGATCTACATAGAATTTAGGTATGTTTTAAATGCTTTATGGGAAAATGCCCAACTTTCTAAGAATTACAGTATGTCTTATGTCAAGGCAGCATCTCAATAAACTAATAAGGAGCTCCTGCCAGCCAGGAAGCTCTCAGCAAGCTTCTTTCTCTCTTCTGCCTGCATTTCAAAGAGCAATTTGTAAAAAAAACACCTATCTCAGCCCCACAAGAAAGAGCAACACAGCACAGATTTTACGAGCTGAGAGCGGACACTGGCCCTATTGTCCATGGTCACCATGATACTGAATAAAAATGCTGTGGAAGGCATTTCTATAATCAAGGAGTATACAGGCCAAAAATTCTGAGCGGGAGTGCCCAGAGATTATGAAGATGACCAGCATAGTTAAATGAAAAGTCAGTGAGGTGTGATAACGTGTAAACAGATTACGTGTACAGTTAACATAACTGGCCCCACATTCTCCATAAGAAATAAACAATCATGCAGGCTGGGCAAGCAAAGACTGGTGTGATCAAGGGTTTTAGATGGAAATCTCAGTGATTTAGGTCCCCCCCAAAGCTATGGGCTGGGGAGCATATTTTGCAATTTAGTTTTCTTTTGTGCTATTGGCTTGTAAGGAATAGCCCAGACCTATTTTGTCCAAGATGAAATGGATTGTGCTATCTGGATATATGTGAAGAGAATCTGAACCTTTAAAAAAAACAGGAAGGAATGCCACAAATAGACCATCTTTAAATGTCTTTTATAGCTCTTTGGGAATTCTCCTTGAATTTGGCGGTTAAGGCAAGGGGATGTGAAAGACTACATAACCTGATGTCAGGTAAATATTTTGCCACCCTGCACAATTCTACAGTGTACGCGCTGGCAAGTATTTTTCCACCACCTCAGTGAGCCTTGTCCATGATGGAAAAAATTGCCCAAGTGTCTACCCAGAAAAACACAGCTTTCCAGCTCACTGCCAAGACACAAGAACGGAATGACACAAACACAGGCAGGTCTGAAAGGGCTTTCCAACCACTGAGTCATGAAAGCAGCATGTGGTGTGGAGTCCTTTTGCAGAGAATAAAGGGGTGCAAATATTTTGTTGCCTTAATTTTCACTGTGACCAAGCATATGCTAGCAATTTGCTGAGTGCTGTTCCCACTTGTCAGAAACAGAAACCCAGACATTTCTGAAGGAAAAGGTAGCGAACAAAACTCATGCCAAACTGCTAAGAGTCTGGGGCTGCTCATGTTCCAGAAAACTGCTGCAGCGCTGCTGCTCCAGACATACACTGATTTCAGCCTGTGTGCCAGCAGTTAATCCCCAGAAGCGGAAAAATCATGAAGAGCAGAGTGAAATCACCGGACTGGAAATGCAATAGAAAAAGCAGAGGAGTGGCAGGGAAAATTGTGTTTTCTTTGATTTGCAAGATGCAAATTCCCTTTTGGAAAGTCTTTCCTTCGTGGTGTAAACTGCCCAGCAAATCAGTGACAAGAACATTTCATTTTGAAAGAATGTTTGCCATAAACTAGAGATTCTCAAACGTGGGGCTCCTGATGTTCTGTGACTTGACCACTGGTTGTGGTCACCGCCAGGCTTCTGGGGGAGTTGTAAGTGAAGAACATCTGGGCCCTCAAGTTTGGGAAATATTGCCCAAGAGCATTTGCAAAGATATGGTTGAATATCTAGACTTTATAATACCAGCCAAATCTCAGCATGGTACAGGAGGCTTCCTTCAAACCATTGTTTCTACATATGTCATTTAGAACAATGCTAATGTTCTGTTCCTATAAGATATTGTGCAGTGAGAGCCCCCTACAAAGGACTGGAGGCTGGAACAGATTTTCAGTAAGTCACTGGAAGGGTTTTCTGACTCTTAACATGCCTGCTTCCTAAAAGGAGATGTGAAGTACACAGAATGCACACGGCACACTGCTTGTAAATTAGTTCACTCCCCATGCTCTCAACCCCTAGCTCCCTACTTTCAAACATATCCCCAAGAGAGGGAATTGTCTACTTTTATTTGGTCATGTATCAAAAGTATCATAAGAACATATACAGGGCTGTATAAATAAGTAATCACTTGCCTGTGGTGTCATTCCACACCAGAAATTAGAGTAGAGAGACCGAGATTCCAGCATTGGTGCCACAATGGTCTTATTCTCTGCTATCATCAGGTTTAGCACTTCTGGGTTTGTCAGAAAATTATCAGCATCTATAAACTATAAAAAAAATGGACAAAGTAGTGTATCAGGATCTTGAAGATATTAGGAACTCATACATGAGACTGGATCAAGAGATTGTTCTAAAACCAATAAAACAGAATTTTAAAAATTGAGTTGTTGTCGCCTCCAACATATGGCGACCCTATGAATGAGTGATCTCCAAAATATCCTGTAAAAAAACTATCCTGTAAATATCCTTTACTGCCTTGCACAGCTCTTGTAAACTCAAGTGTGTGCCTTCTTTTAGGGAGCCAGTCCATATAGAATTACCCATCTTTAAATCTTGAGATACAACAAAATGAACAAAATTAGTGGAGATTTCCATCGCTAATTTGTCAACTTTAAGCTATGCAAAATTTACACTGTACCAAAGCCAACACCAAATAGTGGTACACTTTGTAACTATTTGTTTGCACATCCCAAAAGGGATGCTCTAGTCTCACCACTAAGTTGGAATGAAGCCTGGGGACTTGTCCACTCCATAAATAAGGACAGAAATCTCCAGGTACTTTAGCAGTGGACCTAGTTAGAGCCGTTAGAGGTCAAAACCTTTAACCTGCCCTAGATGTTTGGGTGCTCCCCTGGTCCTGCTAGGTCCTAAATTCACACAGTGGAAACAGAAATAAAACAAGATAGCTGTCTCCCAACCAGCATTAAAGAAAGTCATTCGTCCAGGTACTTTAGCAGTGGACCTAGTTAAGAGCCGTTAGAGGTCAAAACTTTTAACCTGCCCTAGATGTTTGGTTGCTCCCCTGCTCTTGCTAGGTCCTAAATTCACACAGTGGAAGCAGAAATAAAACAAGATAACTATCTCCCAACCAGCATTAAAGAAAGTCATTCCCAGGGATATGTGCATGTGCAGAAACAGGCAGTACGTTTTTCAACTGCAGTTACAGCATTTGAATATGCAGCTTACTCCAGAGCACCTTTTTACATATCAGCTAAGGAGGTGTACATTACTTTTAGCTATGTGTGTATGACACACTTATGGGTGGCGGGTGACTAAATGCATTTTCGAATTTATTTGGCATCTACCATCTCTGCAGAGCAGCTGGGTGACTAAATGCAATTCCAATCCATTTGGCATCTACCATCTCTGCAGAGCAGCAGTGGGCAATTTGTTGCCCTCCAGATGAAGCTGGACTGCAAGCTCTGCCCCCTCTAGCCAGAACCGTTAATGGTGGGAGACAGTGCGAGTTGTAGCACAACAACATCTGAAGGGCCACACTCTCCTGTGCACATGCATGCCTGCATTTGTGTGTGCCTGTGTTTGTATTTGTGTGTGTGGCCCTGGCTTTTTACAAGGGATAAGCAGCAGGAGGAGACAAGAGAGGGAGTTTTGTTTGCTTTTCTTGACTGGTTCTTCAAGAGAAAAGCAACCAAAAACCCCTCCCATTGGCCCCTCCTGTCTCCTCCTGCTTCTGACAGTGGGCTGGTGGGGACCAAATAGGGCCTCTTCAGCTCTGTATACCATTTCGATGTGACCCTATTTAGCCTGCTGCAGCTGGCTCCAAAAGGAGGGTATAGACAAGCCCAAAGATATGCAATGATCTCTCTATGCTCCCAGTATTTGGAAGGACTGGTTACAACAACAGGCACAGGATGCAGGACTTCTCTTGTCCGTAATGGTTGCACTGAGCTTTACATATCCCCAGTACTGAGATCTGTGTAGACATTTGAGCAGAACTGAGAGAAACTTTTTTAAAAAAAAATTAAAGTTTTCCAGTCCTGTAGCCTGCATGAGGGAATCCCCAGCTTTGGGATTCTGGGACTATAATCTAAAAAATAACTTTTTCTAGCTTTGCCTTTGCAGGAGGGAGAAAACTGTAGTACAAGTTGCCTGATGTTATGTTTCCAGTTTCCTTCATTACCAGCCCAGAGAGACACAGGATATTTCTCTAAAAAGCTCAGTGAGTAAATTAAGAAAAGGAAAGAGGGGGGAGCACAACTGCCCAGAACTGTTTTTTTTACCATGATGTAGTCAGACCATTTTTCCCTTGCTGTTCTTAAAGCAGCTTGCCTCAGCTTCATCACATGGGTGAACCTGGAGTATGGCCAATGTTTGGGCCCAATTTCCTCTGGGTAAGACCTGAAAAACATAAAATAATAAAACTAATGCCACTGTGCCATATTACACATTGATGCTCCCACAGGATTACAAAGTGTTATTTACTTTCTAACTTTAGTACGCTAATGCAAAAAACTAAAAAGTGGAGCACATACACTCTCATCTCAAATCCTCCCCTCTGCACACAAAAATTAGAACAGAAATATTGAAAGGTTCTGAGAGAAGAAATACACTTTTAGATTTATTTCTAGAGTGTATATCCAGGATTTGAAGCAATGGTTCCCAAATTTCGGTCCACATATATTCTTGGACTACAACTCCCAGAAATCCTGGCCAGCAGAGCTAGTGGCGAAGGCTTCTGCGAATTTTAGTCCAAGAACTTCTGGAGACCCAAGGTTAGGATCTGCTGATTTAGAGGAAAAGACAATATCACTGTTTCCTGCCCTATTTTACTGTTGTGCCTTAATGGAGAAACGTAAGTGTAAAAAATATTTGATTCTACAGCCTAGACCAAGATTTACACAAATTAGCTTTATCACACCAAACAAATGTAGAGAAATATATACAGTAGGTTCCTTTACAAAGGAAGCAGAACATGGGAGAAGGGAGCTATTGGGAGTGATAGCTTTACGGGGCGGGGGGGGAGCTTCCACGCATAGAGCCAGGAGACTGCCAGGCGCCGTGACAAACAACAGAGAGTAGTCACCCTTTCTTAGACCCTGTTGGGTGAACTCCCACAAACACCTAGCCGGCTACTGCTGGAAACAGAGATTGTTAGGCAAGATACAGTAACACCTGATCCAATACAGCAACATTGTTGCTCTATTCTTAGTATTCTCTCTTTTCCCTAAAGTTTGGAAATTTACTTTTCAGCCTGTTAAGTCCTAGAATCTCCTGGTCAGCATCATGCTGTCTGAGCAAGTCTAAAAGTGATTGTTATTTTTTCCCCAGGATTTGCTCTGACATTACTAGCATGTTAGAGGCTAATAATATATACTAGCAAGACAGGTACTGTACTAAGCCATTTGGGACAGTCACACAGCAGGCCGATATAGAGTTCACAGCAATATTACATGGGAGGTACACATTAGCATAATATTTACAACATTATATCCAGAAGAGGGAAGCTGGTGATTGACTATACATTAGCACCATGCAAGTGATGCATGTCTTCTCCCTGTTCCTTTGTATTCCACTAAACAAGCAAATAAGCAAGCAAACAAACAAACAAACACAAAAAAACCTGCCAGGACTACAACTGGTAGCCCACAGGTCTGGGAACTGCTCCTCAAATGAGTTACTGAGGCTGGGAGTTACACATATTGTACTGGAGCAACAATACCTTGCCTTTGGTGATTATGGCCCTTCAGACATTGCTAGACTGCAATCACCACGCTCCTGGACTGTTGGCTAGGTTGGCTAGGTTAGGTAGGATTTGCAACCCAACATAAAGAAACTGAAGGCGAAACAGCCCCATTTACAAATCGACTGTAAGGGATCCTTCAGTTTGTTGCACTAGGTTAGAAATGTCTACTCACAGAGGTTCATCCAAGGGCCTCCACTCCACGTAGTGGTACAATTTTTGTACATTCTTCAGCCACTCTCTCAGAATGCCTGTTGTATTGTCAACGTTGTGGTCAGTGGCTACCCTAAGGAAAATACATACATCCAGAGTTAATTACATTCACCAACTTTCAGACAAAAATGATCTTGAAAAGACAAGATATTGGCTGACAACAACCGCTTGGCTAGAACTTTAGGGTTCCTGGGTTTAGAAGAGAAAGACCAGCCTTGGGAAGGTACACAGCACACATATTCTAACCTAAATTTACCCTGTGATAATAGGTCAACATTTAGCCTGGCTCCCGATATTGAAAAATACAGCCTGTAAAAGGTCAATGAACTCTCCCCAGCCACAAGGACCAGGGATCATTGCACAAAATAGACCAGCTTAACGACACCCGTCAATCACAGTAACAGATAATCTCCCCCTCCTCATCACAACAAAAAACACGCTGATCACCCCTATCTTCTGAAAAAAGACAAAAGCTGTTCCCACAGCTATAAACAGCTAAAAATCCTCAGCTATCCAACAAAGAGCAGAGGACTGGACAGATTTTTCCTACTGCAGTCCTCTGAAGATGCCAGCCACAGAGACTGGCGAAACGTCAAGAAGAACAACTTTCAGAACAGGGCCAAAGAACCCGAAAAACCCACAACAATCATCAGATCCTAGCCGTGAAAGCCTTCGAGAATACATTTATCCATTAACTGACAAAGAAAGGAGGTGGGGAGTATGCATGTATGTATGTATGCACGCACGTATGTACGTATGCATTTGTATGCATGCACGTATGTACGTATGCATTTAATACTCTGCCTTGCCCTCAGCAAAAGGATCCAAGGCAGTTTACAAAGAATTAAAAACAACAAATATTAAAATATTTAACAATAAAATAAATTACAATATTTTTAAAATTAAACATATTAATAATTTTAAAGGACTAAGTAAAACCCCTTTAAAACAATTTTAAAAAGCAAAGGTAGAAAGTCCCTCCACTCAAAAAAGACCCTTCCTGTTCAGTAATCATCAAACCCCATTAAAGGAATTCCACAACAGATAGAAACCAGAAGTTTAGATTCTTCTTAGTCCAATAGATTTGTACTACCTAAAAGCCTGAACACAGTTTCATTCTCTGCATAACGTTTCAGGCGTGAACTGCTCCTCCCAAATGCATAAATGCACTCAGCCCAAAGAAGTGCATGCTGTTTCTTCCCACAATTAATACAGATTCTGACTGAGAGAGGACAGAGATCTTCTGTGGCAAGCAGAAATATGAATCTATGCAAGAGAAGGCAGGCTCCGTTTTACTAGTATAATGTGCCTATAATCTCAAGTGCCCTTTTGGAAAGATCTCAAAGCCATATATGCTGTAGATTTCAAATTAGCTTCTCCTGTGAAGAGAAGAACTCTTACTCTGCAGAAAATGACAAGACAAGGAGCAATGTAACTCAAAAAGATAAAGGGACCCATTCAAGGTTTTTATACTATTCAGTTCCATTCTTCAGAGACTGAATTTGCAGACAAAGGGTTTACTATGTCCTTGTGCTAAATCATATGGGAAATGACACATATAAACACGGAAGCTTTGGCACAGACAATGGAGTTAGGCACCCCCCCTCCACCCTATCCTCAAGTAACTGCCAAATGTTGGGGGGTGGGTGGGATTTCTTTCCATCAGCAAATGAGCGGACACAAGGAAAGCACATAGCTTATGTGAGCCCTTTTCACTGAACTGCCTACCCAGGATGAACGCAAGGCCGACACAAATAGTCTCTTCATGAAGAGGCAGAATGTGCAGGGGTCACACGCTACCACAGACAACATCCCCAGGGTAACAAGAACTTCCTTGGTGTGCATTTTCACTGCAAGAAGCATGCAGACAGAAAGGCTGGGTCCACAAACCCCCTGAGGGAGGGAATGTAAGGAATGCCCCACTTGGCAGGTTGTCTAAATCACAAATATGACAGCAGCATTTGCTGGGTCTTGAATCTCCCCCTACCCCCTTACTCACCATTTTTATACACTACTATAGTGATATGACCCAGGGGTTCCAGCTTCTAGTCTCCAATGAGTCACAAAAAAGCCCTGGGTCATATTGGGTCAGCCATTTTCTTTTACTTGCTCTCACACTGATGTACTTCACAGGATCATTGTGAGGATCAAAGTGGAGAGGAAAAGAGCCTGATAGATATCACCTTGAACTCAGTGGAGGAAAGGTTTATTATGAACTTAACTAGCTGTAAATAAATAATAAATAAATATGCCATTGTAGTGCATTGGACACAGCGATGGACAAGATTCAAGGGACTGGTTCAAATCCCAACTCAGACAAGAGAAACTCACTGAGGGGTGGCAATCATAAGACCACTTCTTAAATAGTTCACATACCTTAGAAAACCCTACTAAGATCACCATTAGTTTGAATCAGCTTGATAGCACGCAATTCATACAGCCAATCAATACATACATAATAAAAATACAAACACATTTTCTACTACTATTTGTTTGTCTTGCTTTTATTGTATTTCAGAAGATGTTTGTAATGATCAGAGCACAGAGTGCTACTCCAGTCCTCTGAAGATGCCGGCCACAGAGACTGGCGAAACGTTAGGAAGAACCACCTTCAGAATATGGCCAAAGAGCCCAAAAAACCCACAACAACCAGTTTTAACTGTGTTTGGTTATGTAGATCATTAGGCATCCTCTGGTACTATGCAGGACAGACTAGATGATGATCATATTAATAATGAGTGGAAACAGTATTCAATGTAAAATCACGATAAATTCACAAGTAGTGTTTAAGAACATAAACAATCCTAGCAGGCTCATCAAATAAGGATGTTTGTTTTTATGACATTTTCTCCACCAAATATGTTCTAGCGATCTGCCAACCTGGTTAACTGCCTGGAATGCTGAACACCAGGAGGGGCCACCCAGGACGATGATCTATCACATCTTGATATTTCACAGCAGTACGAAGGCCTCAAAAAGACTGCTAGTTTTGTCCACTGGAAAATCCCCCAGAACATCCAGGGACCCTTCAGATTATAAAACTTCTGGACGGTTGACCATCTTAATTGGTCCATCTCTAATGGGGTGGAGGGACAGACTGTAAATATAGGGTAACTAATATTCCTGCCTTCATTGGCAGTTCCTTTCACTATCAATAACAATTAATTTGCAACTGAAGAGGAACAAAAGAGCAACTGACTCAAGCTCCTAATAGAGTGACCTATTGGTTTTTCTACTGGTGTCACCCAAGAATGAGCTCTTCCAGCTGGGCTTCCTTCAGGTGTCAAAAGAAATAGTGAAATAAGCCAATGCAAAGATGTAAATAATTACATGCAAGATTTCTGTCTCAAATATATTTTAACACTGAGCTAATGCAAGTTTCATTTTTAACCCTCATGATGCTATATTGTTGTTGCTGCTGTTGTTTAGTGTTTAGATGTGTCCAATGCTTCGTGACACCATGGGCCAGAGCTTTGACTAAACAGACTTTTGTTGGCAAGGTGATGTCTCTGCTTTTTAAGATGCTGTCGAGGTTTGTCATGGCTTTCCTCCCAAAAAGCAGGACTCTTTTAATTTCGTGGTTGCTGTCACCATCTGCAGTGATCATGGAGCCCAAGAAAGTAAAATCTGTCACTGCCTCCATATCTTCCCCTTCTATTTGCCAGGAGGTGATGGGACCAGTAGCCATGATCTTTTTTTTTTAGACCATTTTTTGTTCTCCTCTTTCATCCTTGTTAAGAGGTTCTTTACGTCCTTCTCACTTTCTGCCATCAGAGTGGTATCATCTGCATATTGGAGGTTGTTGATATTTCTTCCGGCAATCTTAATTCCGGTTTGGGATTCCTCCAGTCCTGCCTTTTGCATGATATATTCTGCATATAAGTTAAATAAGCCGGGGGACAATATATAGCCTTGTCATACTCCTTTCCCAATTTTCAACCAATCAGTTGTTCCATATCCAGTTCTAACTGTTGCTTCCTGTCCCACATAGGAGATAGATAAGGTGGTGAGGCACTCCCATTTCTTTAAGGACTTGCCATAGTTTGCTGTGGTCCACACAATCAAAGGCTTTTGAGTAGTCAATGAATCAAAAGTAGATGTTTTTCTGGAACTCTCTGGCTTTCACCATAATCTAGTGCATGTTAGCAATCTGATGCTATATAAATTTATGAAAAAACTGCTTTGGAATTTTTTTGCTGTCAAAAGGCAATAGGTATATGTAGACATGTCAAACTCTCCACATGAAAGATGTCTTGCTCTTTTCTGTTAATCAGACAAGTTTTGTTACTCATACAAAGTAGCTGTACTAAACCTTATTTGTTCCTTGAAACAGTATCAGTTGAGTTACTGAAATATCCCCAAGTTACTAGAGACAAGAGGGAAACATTTCCAAAAGGCTTGTCGTTCACAAAGTTTAAATCTCTAGAAAGCCCTTACTAAGTCAGCAAGGTTTACTAAAACAAAATCCATCTACTTACCTCTTATTTTCTACCTCTATTTTGAGCTGCTGGTTATTTGTTGCCTATTTATTTTGTGCATAGTGTCAAAGGAGTAAAGAGCAGTCTGTTTTGTTAGCTTTCATCCTTGTAGGAAAGCTACCCAGAGTTCTACCAAAAGAAACAATGATTTCCCAGTTTAAGAGCTGCACTGTGGTCCAGGTAATAGACAGAGAGAAAACACACTGAAACTGAAACAAAAATGTATCACTTTACCTCTGCTTCCCCTGCATCTTAATAATCAGCCCACTTTCGAGTTATCCTGGTTTAAATGCTGTGAGAGATAATGGTCCTGCTCTTTCGAAAACTGTTCTGGGCAGAAGTGAGAAAAATAAGCAAGTACAGTGGTGCCTCGCATTATGACGACTCCGCTTGACAACGGAATCGCTTGATGACTTTTTTGCGATCACTATAGCAATCGCAAAATAATGATTCCAATAGGACTTTTTCACTGTACGACGATCAGGTCCCTGCTTTGGGAACCGATTGTTCCCTAGACAACGATTAAAAACAGCTGATCGGCGGTTGGCAAAATGGCTCCCTGCTGTTTTGTTGACCTCCTCTCTTCCCCCCACCT